ATAACGCTTGTCAAATTCTTCAACTGCTTCATCAATGCTTGCATGGCCACAGTTTCCCGGGCAGGGTTCGCAGCAGTCAAGGTGGACTGTCCCTCAACTGTCGAGTCCACTGGGGCCATGGCGGTCAAGACGGGGCAGAAGCTAGCGCACACGCTATAGGTGTTGACGTACAAATATTTACGATCCAAGACAACTGCTGTGCAACCGTGCTAATCCCCTCTAACCATCCTTAACTAAGTAGACGGGAAAACGAAAGGTTCATGGTGTCAGAAACTCAGCCACTAACCACTGAGTTAAAATGGCTTGTTAATATAGCGGGTCAGTGCGCCCATAGCCCCCCAGGCTCTGCACCTGTGGCCCTTCACCGAGGATCTTCTCAAGGGTAACCCTAGCGGGTCACTCGACACCCCCCCTCACTGGGATAGGTGGAAGACACGAGCGCCTCTGCAGCCCTAGAATTGGGAATTGAACCCGAGTCACCAACTATCTGAAAGCATGTCAGAAACCCAGCCACTAACCACTCAGCTAAAAGGGCTTGTTAATAGCGGGTCAGTGTCTCAGAGTTAGAACGAATAACTAGAATGAGAGAATACAGGAGTATATAGTGGGTTGTACTCTCTTTGGCAAGACCCTATGTAGTCTACTTAACATACACAAATATGTGTGACACACCCCTTAGACTAGATAGGGGCAGAGCTTGAAGAGAGACAAACAGCCCAGGGCAGCACTACTAGTCCAACCTCTGAGGCAGGGGTCTAAAGACCAGTCAAAAAGAGTACAAACAAGGCAAGGACAAGACCAGGGCAGCACTACTAGTCCAGCCATTGGGAGAAAGCCAGTCATGATAATATATAAAGATTTATACACTATCAAGGTCCTAGCAAATGAGGTGCTACCGGAACGAGTCCCAGCTGTACACAGTGTCGCTGATGATCTTTAGGCGCAAGCGCCTTAGTAAAGACATCAGAGGAGGCCAAGTGTACTACGCGGGCCTGGCGATGCTGGTGCAGCTCACGCAGGAGGAAGTACCGCAGTTGGATGTGCTTCACTTGGCCCTCGAGTCTAGGCTCCTGACACAGGAGGATCATGGCCCTGTTGTCAGCGTACAGGACCGGGGCAGAGCTAGGCCGCTCACCTAAGTCTGTGAGCAAGAAAGTCAACCAACAGAGCTCCTGTGCCGCCATGGCACCGGCGTAGATCTCAGCCTCACAGCTAGACAGGGAAAAGAATGACGAGCGGGTGGACCTCCACGAGACAGCACTTGCACCAAGGCTAAAGAAGTAGCCCTGGGAGGACCTGCGAGTCTCGGCGTCGTCTGCCCAGGAAGCGGCTGTGTGCCCGGTAAGGACCACTGGTCTGCGTGCTCCTAACACTAGCCCCCTGCCCGATGTACTTGCTAAATAATGCAAAACCCTCTTACCCACAGACCAGTGCTGTGGTCGGTGCCTGCCGGAGGCCACAAAGTGAGTCAGGATGCTGAGAGGGTATGCGAGATCTGGACGAATGCAAGTCATCAGGTACATGAGGCAACCCATCAGTTCTGCGTAAGGACCATTAGGCTCTACAGCCTCCTCTAGAACTAGAGCAGAGAGTCTATGGTCTGGCAGAGGGGTGGGCTGTAAGGAAGAGAACTGAAGGCCGAACCTCTGAAGGACCTGGCGCACCAAGTGTGACTATGTGAGAGTGATGGTGCGCGCTGCTCTATCCCTGGGGATCTGCAAGCCAAGGTAGCGGCGTAGCTCTCCTAGGTCAGTGCAGGTGTGTCTCCTCAGCAGCTCGGCCTTCACAGAGGCCAGCGCGTCTCTTTCTACAATAGCAAAGACCAGATTGTCTATGTAAACAAGGATGTAGAACGGAGTCTGGCCGGAACGAACGAAGAGCGAGGGGTCTGCAGATGACGGGAAGAATTGCAGGTCAGCAAGTGTAGCATGCAGAATGTCGTGCCTTTCACAAGGCGCCTAGCGCAGGCCGTAGACAGGGCGACGGAGGAGCCACTCGGTACCAGGTGTAAACGTACCAGAGAAGCCCTAGGGGCGGCGCAGGTAGACCTACTCGTGTAGACTGCCCTAGAGAAAAGCTGTGGAGAAGTCGAGTGAGTGCAGCTCGTAGTCACGCAGTGCTGCTACGTGTAGCAGTACTCAAAGAGTAGTCATCTTCAGGGTCGGGACAAAGGTCTGAAAGAATTCAACCCCCTCACGCTGACTGAAGGCACGAGCAACGTAACGCGCCTTGAAGACAGGCGGCTCTCCAGGAGGGCGCTTCACCTTTAAGAGCCATCGGCTATCGACTACGTTCACCCCAGGTGGGGGAACTGCGTCGATGAAGGTACCAGTGGGTCTCCAAGATGCCATCTCCTGCTCCATGGCAGCTATCCACTGAGAGGCCCAGGGTCCCGATGTGGCCTCAGCGTAGGTGCGAGGGGTCGAGTTGTCAAGAGCGTCTGGGTCATCCTCAGGGACTAGCAGCATGGAACAGAGATGGGGAGAGGCCTCTGACAGGAAAGCAAGCTCATACTGTCTGTCCTCTAGGATGTCACTGCCAAGGGCAGTCACACCCTTGACGAACGGAGGGCAGGCAGGGTCAGAGACCAGAGCGGTGGCGTAGTCAAGGTGACGGATAGCGGCGAAGTCAGTTACAGCAGCGACAAGAGAGTCAAGGCGCGAGACAGGAACAGACGGGTCGGTAACTAGGGAGGCAAGGACACGAGGAACAAGGGGACGAGCGGCACGGAGGAAGTCAGAAAACGGAGGCGGGGCGACAGCGAGCGACGACGGAGGAGGGGAAGGGAGGAGCGGAGGAGCACGAGACGCGTGAGAGCGAAGCAACATAGGGTGAGAACCTGGAACATGGGAGGTAGGACGAGCACGAGATGGACGACGAGCCCAGATGTGAGACGGAGGTGTCGGGTCACGAGAGAGGGGAGGAGACACAAGAGGAGAACGAGGAGGGAAATGAGCCGGAGAAGAGTCCACGGGAGGAAACACAGGGCCGTAGACCGGCAGAGGAGGAGGTGGTGGCGACCGAGGAGGCACCGGCGGGCGGGCAGGAAAAGGAAGGCAGAGGAGGCGAAGAGCGGAAGGCTAGGACCTAAGGCGGAAGCGCGGGTGGGCGGGTGGGACCTAACCTACTCATGATACCATATCAAATTTAGAATGAATAACTAGAATAAGAGAATACAGGAGTATATAGCTAGTGGTTAAGACCCTATGTAGTCTACTAAACATACACAAATATGTTTGACACAGTGCGCCCATAGCCCCCCAGGCTCTGCACCTGTGGCCCTTCCCCGAGGATCTTCTCAAGGGTAACTCCAGCGGGTCACTCGACACATGGATAGGTGGGCTTTGATACCAGCTATTATAATATAGGAAGTGTCAATGAAATATAACAGGAGAATGCAATGTCGCTATTGTAATATATAGGGGTTGGCGTGCTAGGGCGATGACCTCGGAACGTGGGTAGGTTCGGCAATGTGGCGACAGTGCCGGACGCGATGCGGGAAAGTATTGGGCCTGTTATAAGCCTAGAAACGGTAGGCAGCGATGAAATGGCGTGAGGGTTTAGCTAGGAGAGAAAGTTACGATAGAAAAGAGGTCGAGAATAGAAGAGAGAGGGATACAAGGAGGGGTGTTGTACCCTTTATAGTAAGTTTCAGTAATGCCTACCAAGCCTACAATTATATAACATATATCATTTAACACACCCCCTAGGCTTGGTAGTAGAATAACCCACACACACAGGACACTAAGCCACACCCACCCCCTAATTCTGGCACCCCCATACTCAGCCACAGCGACAGCTACACCAGCTCAGTCGATCCCTCGGTGCGTGAAGTGGTGACGTCGACCGCACGGGCTGCAGCGGCGACGGCGGCAGTGTCGACAGCGGCGGCGGCAGCGGCGTGCGGCTGCGTGGCCCCAACGCAAGCGGCGACATCGGCGGCGGCGGCGGCGCCTGCACCTCTCGGTGGCGTGACCAGGCCCCGCGACGGTAGGACGGCCAGCGGGAGACAGCCGTCGTCTGCGGCGAGGAAGAGGACGCAGGGGAAGGGGGGCGGGGCGTGGTCCAGCCTCACGCCCGTGGCTGGCGTGCGGCGCCACAGACGTTGCGCGGCCGGCTGCCGCCCGACGACACCGCCACAGCGCGGCGTCGATGCCACGGCAGGACGTTGACGCTGCGACAGCAGCACGACGCCATCGCAGCGGTGTGGCGTTGATGCCACGCGTCGGGGCTGCGACGGCAGCACCACGACGCAGCAACGAGTGCTCGGCATGGGCGCGACGGCAACCCGACAGGGACGAACGACGAACGAGTACGCGACGGAAGCGTGGGGAGCAGGCCCGGGAAGGGCGACCTGCTCTAATACCATGTTATGAGGCTAGAAACGGTAGGCAGCCATGAAATAGCGTGAGGGTTTAGCTAGGAGAGAAAGTTACAAGAGGTCGAGAATAGAAGAGAGAGGGATACAAGGAGGGGTGCTGTACCCTCTACAATAAGTTTCAGTAACGCCTACCAAGCCTACAATTATATAACATATATAATTTAACAGGGCCGACAAATGAGGCCGAACGTGACGAGCCGAGGAGTTTGGGTGTACGCTCTAACGTATGAATCAGTGAGCAATGGAAATTCCTTAAGAGCATCTTCTATTTAACACAAGGTGTGCATGTACATAGCTAGAAGTGGTCCCCTCCCCGCCCCAGTAGAAGATTCCCTTTAAGGAAGGATTCCGCAGCCTCGGGTCTGACCCGCGAACCTGCGGGAAGACCCGCGGTGGAAAAAAATGTCTCAGGTCTTGAATAAAACTGACGGCTGCTGCCCACCTAGCACCCGATTAGCCGACAATTCGCGCGAATGCTCGTCCACCAATGTACACCCCCTAAAGCTTTTGCGATGGCTGTTTGCGGCTTGCTGGATAGCCGCAGCTCGCTTTTAGTGACAGCTTTCAACTGCGCAGCTGCTCCACGGTCAAGCAAACAAAACTCGCATGTTGAGAAGACCCCCAGCTCCAACAAACTATTCTTAGACAGCAGATTCCAACAATGCACCATAAATCTAGCCCTAACCACAACAGCTGTGGCATGGCAACCATCAAGGTTTGGTGCATGTAGACCAACCACAATTACATGTCTTGCAACGGTATGCAGTCTAAATGACTGTAAGCACATAGAGCAATGATGGTTATCAGCAACCCCTATCCACTTTGCTCCACTCTGAAGCACCAGCCTGGAATGCAGCTCCCACAGCATACACCCTCTCCATTTAGTGCCGACGGTGTTCTCTATCTTGGTTGAACGAGTCAGAACAAATGTCTATTTGACGCTCTCATGTGCACCATCACTAGCCCGATTTTGCGCTAGGGGCAGCTGGCAGGAGCTGTGAAATATTATGGGGGCCAACAAGTAACACGGAATGAGAAAAGGCACGAGAGAGGGGCAGAGGGAGAGAGACAAAGAAAGGGAGGGAAAAAGGAAGTGGGCGAGAGGGGCAGAGGGGGAGAGTGAGAGAGGGATGGAAAGAGGGGGTGGAGGTAGAGGGGCTGGAGGGAAGGAGGGGGTGGATTACAAACGACAAGCTTGGAATATCACAGATGGAACCCCCAATACATACACAGAACAATACCTGGTAACAAGAGATCAGCGAAGTAATGAAGCCCAGTGCTCCAGTGACTCTAGGTGTGACTGTCTTCGGTGCGAGCTGGAGCAGGCCAATTGCAACGACGATGTCGGTGGATGCCTTCACAAAGCTCAATTGTCGCTGACGTGCCTTCGCTAGAGCAGCCAGCAATTGGTCTTTCTGCAAACATGCAATAATGAAGTGTTAGCAAGACACTCTTCCCGATACGACAAGCAAGCGAGACAACATAAAACGCGACCTACCAGCTTGGCTTGCTCAATCGCGTTCTTCTTCTCCTTGGCACGACGAATTTCCTTGCTGAGTTTGGCGCATGTGATAGAAAGCCGATAAAGCTCGCAGACCTGAAGCACGAAACCGAGACGATTCAGGCGATGGCGAAATGCAAAGAGAGCAGAACGGGGTAGGAGAAACTGCTCACCTCGATGATGGAGGAAACTCCGCAGCTAGACATCCAGCAGTGGAGAGAAAGCTTGGCAATCAGATCACTCCGTTCCTTGTTCTGCAAGGAAGATAACGTTGCTTAGGTTGCATTCTTCGGACGTTCTACAGCTGATTAACATGCGTACTACTATCTTCGTACCTGATAAATGCCAGACCGACCCAGCCACACCACTTGATCCAAGCCAAGGAACGTCGCCAACAATGCGCTCTTAATCTGCAAGCCGATAGAAAAGCATTGTCGTGATTCACTTTGGCATAATATTCCCATAAGCACCAATCACACAGCAAACCTCATACAACCTACCCTTCCGAGCAGCACCAAGAATAGAGGCGTTGTCTTAGGAGCGGGACTGAGAAGATTCTGGATCTCATTGACGGACTGCAATAAATAAACAAGGGAATGTGCTTTAGATGCCGATTAAAAGGCAAAATCAAACACACGAAACAGCTGCATAGCAGTGACCAACCTTCAGAAGCCTGAAAACTTTTCGCGCTAAACTGGTGTTTTTGTCCACAGTGGCTGCAACGCCAGGTTCACCCCCGCTGATAAACTTGGAGCCATACTGGATGGCCCTGCAAATCTTGTCACGCGTTTCCGCTTTGTTCAAGTACAATGCGAGCAACGCGACGTGAACTTTTGCCTCTTCAATGGAGGAAACCATGGTCAGAAATTTTATACTCGAGCAGAGACTTCTACAGAAAAGAGCTGCGTAAAACGGCTGAGAGGGCTCCCCTTCAGATAGTCGCGTAAATTCGAGAACACGGGAGGAGCTAACTCAACCGTCCAAGACGAATAGAGCCAAGTATAAAATGAGCACCAGAAGTGCAGGATCGATACAGGTAAACAGACTTGATCCTGGACTGTTGGTGGTGGGGGAAGAGGGAGGCGAGGGAGGGAGGGAGGTGAGGGACGTGGAGGGGGAGCCAAATGCAGACACCAGGCTTGTGAGGTGTGTCACGGGCTGCCCTGTCCGGGCCAACTGACAAGGAGTCTGGCCCCGATGACGTGTCTAGGTGGTCCCCAACGTGCAACACATGACACGTGGAACAGCAAAGCACTCACCACATGAAACGGAAACTGCTGGGCCCAAGCTTAGATGTTTCGTGTACTTACAGTGCCCTAAAAACAATAACCAAAGTGTATTTAGGTAGGCACAATATTGGTTTGTACCTTTAGCCATGTTTCACACTTTAGTTGTTAACCTCCTCACATTGCCCATCCCTTTGAAAGTCTCCTCGCTCATTCCTCACATAGCTATTCAATTTCTAATACACACAAGTCTCACATCACGGCAAAAAAGGCTATTTCGTGCGGGTATTTTATCTGTACGCGCTAAACCATCACCAAAATACATGCTTGCACCGTAATTTCGTAGCAAGTCGCAGTTACAACATCAACCCATCCCTTCAAAACACCAATGAGCATACATTATCTCATTGGTCTATGCATCAAACAGAAAGTGTTTCTTTACGAGCTTCAAATTCTTAGTGAATCATAACAGGGTCGACAAAATAACATGCAAGATAAAGAAACTAGAGGAGGCAAAGATAACCAACCAAGGAATCTCAATCGCGTGACCACTTCTCTAAGATTTGGCATGCACAGCATTCACACAAACACAAAAACGTCACCTCCAGTCGAGGATATGGAGAGTCACCAGTTGGCTGCCACGGGGGATGTACCGCCACATCAGCCCTTCAGCACCAATCCCGTCTCGAGGAGCTCGATTGTTCCTGCTACCTTGAAATTCTCCCATTCTCCCATTCTTGGAGATGTCTCCCTCTTTCGTCCACGTCCCCCACACCCGCTTCTTCCCCCTTCCCCACCCTTTCCCCGCCCCATCCCTCTCTCGCTCCCAACCTCATCCCTTTCCCCAATTCTCCTCCATTTCCCATTCCCAGCGATTGTAGTTCGTTATCCACACTCCACGTCCTTTTTTCCACCGACTTTCTCAACCCGCGGTCTTTATCTGTGGTCTCTGACCGTGAATCGGACCACCATGGCTTCGCTTCTCGCCACTCCTGCGCGCGGTCTCGCCGCTGCGTTCACTTCAAATGCGGAACCTTCAGACGCGGCTACCACATTCGCGGTGCGATCCTCATCCTCGTCATCCGCGCGCCTCGCGTCTCTCCGCAGCACGGGATTTGATCCCCTCCGCCACGTCCGAACGTCGACATACCGCCGCCGCGCCGCAGCCGCGATTCGCCGCGTCTCGGCATCCGCCGACGAATCCGCATCAGAAGCGTCGCCAGCGACTGAAGAAAAGTCCTCCGTTACAAGCCCATTCGCGGGAAAGAAGATTTCGGCTCTGCTAGCAGCCCGCGCCGCAGCCGCTTCTAAGGCGGCTACTAGCAGCTCACCAGGCGCTTCCCCCGCTGCCAAAGCACCCGCTCCCCCGTCCGCAGCAGCCGATAGCGCATTCCCCCCTCCCCCAACTACTGCCTTCCCCTCCTCGTTCTCTAAGAGCCTCCCCGTTTCTCCCCCTACCTCCCCGTTCGCATCCCCCGCTGCTTCCGCTTCCGCTTCGCCTCCCGCCGCCACCCCGGCCCCTACTCCCGCGCCGGCGGATCGCTCGTCTGTGAATGCCGTTGTCGGCGGGTCAGTCAAGCCGAAAGTCTCCTTCCGCGGAAAGGCGATCGTAGATGCGTTCAAACAAAGCAGCGGCAGCGGCGAGGCTGGTGCCGGCGGCGCGGGCAGAGCCGCGGCCGGCGCGGCGCCGTCATCTTCATCATCAGCATCGGGATCGGCGGCGGACGATGGCAGAATCCGCGTGGGGTCCCCGCGCGCGCCGGCGAATATTTTCCAGGAGAAGCCCCGGACGCCGGAGGAGATCGAGGCGGAGAAATGGCGGTTTCAGGTGAGCAAGGACCAGGTGCTTCTGGCCCTGTCGTTCTTCGCGTCGTCCATCATCATGCTGGGAACGGTGTTCGTGGTGTGGAAACTGGGCGCTATTCACTTTAACGAATACTGAGAACGGAAAAGGAATATCGAGACGGGTTATAGAGGAGATGGAGGGGGGGTACAGGGAGAGGGGAAGCTCAGCGGGGAGGCTGGGAGAGGGTAGGAGGCTGGTGGTGGTGGCAGGAGCTAAGGAAGGACGGACGGGAATCGAGATCGAGGAGTGAGGGTTCTCAGAAGTAAGTATGAAGCAGCAGCTGAACAGAAGCAGAACTTTCACCCACTCGCCGGAAAGAAAGCAGCGTCAGCAGCCATCACTACGACATTGTATCAGCAGCAGCATGACTGGCTCAGCAGCTAGGATGGGAGGATAGACGATGGGTGCGCAGGAGTTGAGGGGGGTTGGGCGCAAGTCGAAGCTGCTGTGCGCGGTGCCAGGTGGTGGATGGGTGCTGTGAGCTGTGTGTTTGTGCAGTGTGGTGTGCGGTGCCCATGGGTGATACGGGGGTGTGGAGTGAAGGGATGAAGGAGGGGGATGGCTTGAGGAGAGGAGGTTCTTGATAGGAGGAGCGGGATGGGGGAGGAGGAGGAGGAGGTGGCGGCGTAGGTGTGAAGCCATGCGAAGGCTGAAGGCTGATGGCTGCTGAAGAGAGGAAAGAGTTGTATACGGCAGAGCGTTTCTTGATTACTATCATAAGGGGGATAGAGGGGGGTGTGGGGGAGTGTTGCTTGTCTAGTGTAGGTGTTCAGTTAGGGGTATCAGCTTACGATTGTCTGACTCTTCCTAGGGTATCTCCGTTTTTGCGTTCTCCGTCCGCTGCTTACCTTGTCTGCGGATTCATGGGTGGCCACTGGCTGCATTCCGATCTGTTTCACAACATCGTGTCGTGTGCATTTGCATAGCATTCACCCTGGTCTATGGAGGGTAGCAGCTACAGTAGGTCAGTAGGTGGTCTCACAGAAGATGTTTTCACATACCTTGCACAAGCGGCATTAGAAAAATCAGCATGACAGCAGTTCTATCAGTCAGGGGTAAACAGGTGCCTGTGCTACCTACCTACCCATACCCCCTGCGGCAGCATCCTGCTGGATTCTTTCACAGCCTGGCAGCAGCATTGCATTCTATATCTGATCTGAAGGCCAGCATTCTGTCATTCTATCACGGTATCCACCCAATTCCTCAATCTGCTTTGACAGTCAGTCAGCGAGCGGCAGTGGTGAGGTGAGGTGACCGACCGTGACCAAGTGTGAGGAGGACTGGATGCAGGACCCATAGTACCAGTACGTAACACTGAGGGCTGTAGGCAATGGATGGTGCTGCTGTCGGTTTCTCTGGGGTGAGGCAAGGCAACTCTTCTTGGCAACATCTTCGGATGGTTGGTCGGTCAGTCGGCGAAGCTTTAGATCAAGACACGGGCTTGATTAGATACCGTAAGCAGGCTCCCCCCTTCGATAGAGTTGCTTGCTGTGCTGCATCTAGCTTGAAACATGATTGGCTGCTAAGGGATGTATCAGACATGTGGAGAAGGCTAGTCCAGGTGCTTGCGTCAAAAGATGGCCAAGGAGGAAACGCTTCCAAGGGCTTGTGCGTGCGTTGTGCGCAAGAGCGTGAATGAGAGTACAAGCAGTGAGTGTGCGCACACGGGTATCTAGGAGAGGGAGAAAAGCACGCATCGGCGGTCCTCGGCAAGGGCAGCAGCAGCCGTGGCGTCCCCTGCGTTGAGATTCAGCTGCAAGGAGCCCGACGACAGCTGCATGGACGAGAAGGACACTCGCACCGTCGCCCCCGCGTATGCTGCCGCGCCCAATGGCGGCTGGAAGGTCCGTGCGGCTAGGCGCTGCTTGGATGGGACCAGGGAGGGGAGGGGAGGGGAGGGGAGGGGAGGGGAGGGGAGGGGACGGGACGGGGTAAGGCAAGGCAGGGGGGAGAACAGAGAGGAGGTTGAGCTGCCTGGAGCCAGAGCTAGAGGACCCCGACGATAGCTACATGGAGGAGAAAGAAACTCGCACGGTTGCGCCTGTGTATTCTGCCGAGACCAAGGGCGGCTGGAAGGTCCTTGTGCTGCTAGGCGCTGGTGTGGGGGGAGGCGGGAAGCAAGGGGGACGAGAAGAGAGGGCCTTGAGCTGCATGGAAGAGAACGAGTTACAAGACTCGCACTGCTGCCCCTGTGATGTTGAACGGCCCAAGGGCGGCTGGAAGGTCCGTGTGCTGCTAGAAGCCGGATGGATGGAGCGAGGGGTGGGAGGGGGGGAGGGGGGGGAGGGGGTGTGGGTAGGGGAATGGTGGGTTGGGTTGAGGGGAGAAGGAGGAGGTGGATCACAAAAAAAGTGGATGATAATGAGTAAGAAAGAAGTTGAGCATTGCAGACGAGGGAGGGGGAGCATGCAGAGAGAAGGGTGTGGAGGAGGGGGAAAGGGGTTACAGGTGCAGATAAGGAGTGTGCACGGGGCAGCAACAGAATTAAGCAAGTGTGCATGCGACAAAGCAAGCAAACCACAGGTGTGTGTGTGTGTGTGTGTGTGTGTGTGTGTGTGTGTGTGTGTGTGTGTGTGTGAGTGTGTGTGTGTGTGTGCGTGCGTCGGCCTGTGCATGTGCGTTTGCGCGCGCGCGCGCGTGTGTGTGTGTGTGTGTGCATGTGCATGCACGCACCGGTCCCTGAAAGTAAAATTGGTTGCTGGCATCCGCCCCTGCGCCACTGCCCCCACACACCACCTCCACCCTATTCACATTCGCCGACCCAACACTATAACTCTCCCCTCCCCCTCCCCCTCCCCCATCCGCAGCAGCAGGTGCTCCAGCCTCCCCACTCGCCTCCCCGCCGCTTCCTCCCCCCCCCGACTCCCCACCCCCAAAGCCTAGCCTACAGAGGAGGTTAGGGGAAATAGGCGAATCCGGGAAGGCGGAGGAGAGGGGGAAGGTGGCGATTGACCCGTCGTTCCCCTCAAAGAAACAGTCACAGTCTGTGGGGGAGACAGACGTGCAGGGCTCTGGAGGAGAGGAGGGTGCGAGAGGGTAGGGTGGATTGAGGGAGGAGGCCGGTGCTCCTGGTGCAGGCTCGGTTGTTTGGTCTGGGGAAGGGGAAGGCGGAGGAGGGGAAGGCGGAGGGGGAGATGGAGGGGGCGGGGAGGGTGGGGGAGGGGAAGGAGGAGGGGGGATGGAGGGGGGGGGATGGAGGAGGGGGCGATGGGGGAGGGGGAGATGGCGAGGGTGGGGGAATTCGGGGGGAGGGGAGCGCATGGAGCCATGGGTGGGGCGCAGGTTGGGGTTTAGAGGGGGACTGGGGGCAGCGATAAGGAAAGGGGGGAGGAGAGGCCCAGGGGAGGGGGGGAGAGGTCAGGGGGAGGGGGGGAGAGGTCAGGGGGAGGGGGCGAGAGTTCAGGGGGAGGGGGGGAGGGCACAGGTGGGGGGAACGCAGGTGGGGGAGAATCGGGGGGAGGGTAGGATGGAGGAGGGGGAGAGGAAACAGGGGGAGGTGAGCGCATGGAGCCATGTGTCGGGGGGAGGTTGGGGATTATAGGGGGGCTAGGAGCGGCAATGAGGAGGGGAGGAGGGGAGAGAGAGGGTGGGGGGTTGATAGGGGCGGGTGAGGGGAGGCGGATGAGGGGAGGAGGAGGGGCAGGGGCGGCGGGAGCGGGGGTCGGTGGTGTGCTGGTTATAGGCTCGTTGGTTGTGCCTGTCATAAGAAAGGGAAGAGGGAGAGAGGGACGGACCGCTTAAGAAAGAGAGGGGAGGAGGAGGGGAGAGAGGGGAGGGAGGCGGGGTGCAGAGACGGGGAGAGAGAGCAAGAAAGAGGGGGAGACCGAGCAGAAGATAGGTGGTGAAAAGCAAAAGCATTTCAGAAATGTAGAAGAATGGGATTGAAAATAGACAGGTGGGCGAGGAGGAGGAGGGGGCGAGGAGCACAAGGGTAGTCGGGTGGCCAGAGGTACAAGTAGATTTTTGAGTGTCCACCTGACTCAAAAGTCACCTCGACTCATTACACACAAGAAGGTGCCCAGAGGTAAAAGTAGGTGCCGCAACAAGAAGGCGACAATGCAGAAAACCATGATCCACCCATGATCCACCCATGATCCACCCATGATCCATCCATACAGTCCCATGCGTCCTCATTGCATGCCCGGTCATGTTGTGAGAAACTGTGCCTCGGCATGCTGTGCCATGCCATGCCATGCCATGCCATGCCATGCCATGCCATGTCTTCTCATGCCACACCAGAGGTCCAAGGCCCCTCACAGTTAACATCTGTCCATGCCATGACGCCCTTTTCTCTCTCGATCCAGATGTACTTGTTCCGTAGCCACGACTCTGGACAAGATGGGAAGAGAAGGGAAGGGAAGGGAAGTAAAAGACGAGAGGGACCGAGAGCACGGGGTGCAGGGAGAAGCAGGTGTGAGTGAGACAGAGACCTTCTGTCTCTCGATCCAGATGTACTTGTTCCGTAGCCGCCACGACTCTGGCATTAGAAGGGGTAAGGGAAGCGGACGAGAGGGGAGGGACAGACACAGGAGCAAGGGGGGGTTGAGACCACAGTGTGCTTACCTCCTCCCAGTCTCTCACCTACCCACATCCCCCCCCTTCTCACTTCCGGCCTTTTGAACCCCTCAAAATCCACCCCACAACTCACCTCCCCTCAAGTCCTCTCTCTCCAGACTCAGCCCTTCTAGCCAAGACTCACCCTTCCAAGCGTCACCCCCCCAAGCCTCGCCTCCCCCAAGGCTCACCTCCCCTCAGCCTCTCCTCCCCCAAGGCTCACCTGCCAGCACGGTTCTGAGGGAGGGCGATCTGACAGCTGCAAAGCACGCCAGGCCGTCAGGGGGGGACTGGGGGAGGGGGATAAAAGGGGGTGGGGGGGGATGGAACAAGGGGGAGAGACGGGGGGGGGATGGAGCAAGGGAAAGAACGGGGGTTGGATGGAGCCAGGAGGGGATGTCAGGAGAGTGGGGTAAGAACGCAGGCATTAGAGCTCATAGGAGGTACGGAAAGAAAAATGTGAGGGCGTGTGTGAGTGTTTGCATGTGTGCGTGTGTGTGTGTGTGTGCACGCGCCCATGTGTGTGTGCTTGTTAGCGGGTCAGCGGGTCAGCCTGTCAGTGGGGTAGCGGGACAGCGGGTCAGCGGGACAGCGGGTCAGTCGGTTAGCGGGTCAGCGGGACATCGAGTCAGTCGGTTAGCGGGTCAGCGGGACATCGAGTCAGTCGGTTAGCGGGTCAGCGGGTCAGCATGTTAGGCAGGGGGACTCACAGCAAGGAGGTAGGTTTGCGGGAAGAGAAGATACTCGGCGTTGCCTGCTAGATGCACCGTCACTGTTGGAAAGCGCTGGAAGAATGCTGCAGGGTCATTGCTGCTAGTGAGCACACACACATGGTCAACACACACATGGTCAACACACACATGGTCAACACACACATGGTCAACACACACATGGTCAACACACACATGGTCAACACACACACAGAGATACGACACACACACAAGGAGGGACACAGGGCGCATAGAATCACATTTTTGTGTGACTGTAAAGGGCTGTTCACGCATGAGGTTAAATGCATGGCTGACTGCTGCGGGAGTACAAGCTTGCATGTTCCCATGGGTGCGTGCATGAGTGCTTGAGTGCACGAGTGCTTGAGTGCATGAGTGCATAAGAGCATGAGTGCATGAGCACACGGGTGCATAAGGGCATGAGAGCTTGAGTGCATGCACGCATGCATGCCACATCAGCATTACCTGGCGATATCCATGTTGACATAGCACATGAGGCTGCGCTTGGCTGTCTCTTCCTTGCTGTACGTGAACCCGCCCACCTCTTCAAACACCTGCCGCACAGCACACAGGAGTGCAGTGGAGAGAAGGGCATGCATGCATGTATTGGTTGGCACATGCATAGAAGCATGCATGGAAGCATGCATGGAAGCATGCATGGAAGCATGCATGGAAGCATGCATGAAAGCATGCATGAAAGCATGCATGGACGCATTGCACGGTTCTCTTTTCCTTGCTGTATGTGAACCCGCCCACTGCGTCAAACACCTGCCGCACAGCGGGTCAGCATGCATAGCGTGATAAGCCATCACCGCATGCCTGGAAGCATTAGTGCACCCACCGTACCATTCAGAACTGTGCTCAACAACGTTCATAACGTTCATCGCAATCTGGTGCGCACACGACTGCAGCAACGTGACCTAGCAGAGCAGCCATAGCGCGTGGTGATAAGAGCTCGCTCGGTACACATCCCCTGGCAGCTCAGTGAAGGTGGTTAGGGAGTCCAGCACGGCTCCCCCCTCACCCGTGTGGGGGACGGCGGGAGTCAGCCCTAAAAACACAAAATGCATAGCACAATTGCAATGCATAGCCGACTCACAGCCGTGATAAGAGCTCGGTACACCTCCCCTGGGATCTCAGTGAAGGTGGTGGACGAGTCCAGCACAGCCCCCCCCTCGCCCGTGGGGGACGGTGGGCGGAAGTTGCGCGGAGCGACCGCGAGAGGCGTGCCGGCCACCGACATGCCGGTGATGTGGATGAAGTAGAGCGGACTGGGCGGAGGGGAGGATAAGGGGGAAACGGGGGGGGACGGGGAAGGGGGGGAACAGGGGGGAACGGGGGGGGGGGGGGGGGGGACGGGGGGGTATGGGGGGGAATGGGGGGAAACAGGGGGAAATGGGAGGGACCGTTCTGAGGCAGCTCAAAGCACAGGTACCGACATGCCGGCGGGGTGGATGAAGGAGAGCGGACTAGTGGTTGCCGTGGGGGGTGGGGGGGGGAGGAGAGAGGGATGCTTTGAGTCGCCACAAAGCACAGCCTCAGATAAATCCAGTGCACTTAATTGTCTTCCCCTTCAAACCCCCCCACCCCCCCACCCCCCCACCCTCCCACCCTCCCACCCTTTCACCCTCTCATCCCGCCATCCCCACACCTCTGTAGAAAAATGCCTCCCACCCTGCCTGTGCCTGCTGTATCCGCACTGCAATCTCAATGAAGGATGTCCAGTGTGCGCCTGTGGGCCCCCGGCTCGTCCCCAGCACCACGTAGCTGCCGAACGCACAGGGGTCCCCTTCCAGGCACAGCGCAACCACCATCATCACCACCGCACCGCACCTGCCACCACCAAACCACTCACCTCCCACGCCTCCTATTCTCCTACCATCCCATCCTCACATCTCCCCATCCTTGCCTCTGCAAAGCAATGCCTCAACGCCTCTACACCTCCACGCCTCAACCGCTCAAAATCCTCAACGCCACGCCTCAAAGGTTCCCCTATCCGCACCTGTCAGCGATCTCGATAAACGACGTCCAGTGCGCGCCGGTGGGCCCCAGGCTCGTCCCCAGCACCACGTAGCTGCCGAACGCGTAGGGGTCCCCTTCCAAGCACAGTGCAAAGGAGTCCGTCCACACGCCCTGCCCTGCCGCCACCGACACTATCGACTGTATGCCCCGGCCCAGCCCAAACACCCCATCGGGAGCTCGGGACACGCCGCTTAAGCTGCCTGTTTGGTAGCTGCCACACCTGGTGGAAAGGGGGAGGGGGGGGGGGGGGGGAGAACGAGGTTGGGGGAGGACGGGTTGAGTTGAGACAAGGTCACACCATCACACGGCTCAGGGCAAACATCCCATTGTTGAGGCGCCTCAAAAATAGGTCACACCGTCACGGGGCTCAGGGCAAACATCCCATTGGGATGAGATCGGGACACACCAGATAAGCTGCCGGTCTGGTAGCTGCCACACCTGGTGGAAGGAAGTGGGCGGTGAGGGAGGAGGGAGGGAGGGGGGAGTGGAAGGAGTGCGGATTGGGCCTTGACGAAGGGAATCTGTGCTCTGGACGCCCTGCGCTGGACTGCGCTGCTGCTTTTCCTTGCGATTTTGAGAAGGCCTGCCCTGCGCTGCTGCTGCCACTGACATTATTATTGACTGGAGTCCCCGGCCCAGCCTGAACACCCCATCCGGAGCTCGAGGCACACAAGCACGCACGTGACAGGCAGAAAAGAAGACAGCTCAAGAAAGGACACACGCACACCCATTCATTCTCAAACCACGTCAAGATGACACACCCGAAGATCACATAGGCACACACACACACACACACACACACACACACACACACACACACACACACACACACACACACACACACACACACACACACACACACACACAGAAGCACACACAATCTCGAGCCACCTTTAAAACCCTCTCCCAAGCACACACGCAGGCATGCACACACACGTCCTCACGCACCCGAAGATGACGTAGGTCTTTGTGAGGGTGCCGTTCCTGAGTGGCAGCCACACGATATCATACAGCAGCCGCCCCTCCGTCGTCCCCGCCGTCACCCCGCTCACGCCGCTCCCTCCACTCGCCGTGGTTCCGTACCGCTGCGCGTACTCGCACGCATCGGCGTCCCCCGGGAGCGAGCGCGCCATGCCACAGCCAACAGCGGCGGTGCCGGAGATAAAGGACATGCTGACACACGTCTTGTCGGCGCAGGTGAGAGGGACGTTGGACTTGGAGGCTTCGGGGTCGAAGGGTGGGGACGCCTGAGGGGGGGGAGAAGGGGAGGGGGTGGTGGGGGGGAGCAGTGGGATAGGGGGGGGACAGAGGAAACAGGAGAGGATTCTGTTGTGCACCCGCTGGCAGTCGTCCCCTACTGCTGCGCGTACTTGCACCTGGGAGCGACCTAGCTATGCCGCAGTCCACAACAGCGGTGCTGGAGATAAAGGACATGCTCACACACGTCTTGTCCGCGCAGGTGAGGGGGGGGTTGGACTTGGAGGCTTCCGGGCCAAAGGGTGGGGATGACTGCGGGGTGGGTGGGGATGACTGGGGGGTGGGGGGGGGGAAGGTGGGGGGAAGCAAGGTGGGGGGGAAGGGGGGACAGGAGGGTTTTGTTATGCGCCTCCGTTCGCAGTTGTCCCCTACAGCTGCGCATACTCGCACGTGCCAGGATCTCCTATGGAAGGTCTCCGAATTGGGTGGGTCCCCGAGAGAACACCACTTGGTGGTGGTTTTAGCCATACGTGGCAGCGGGCTTGTAGAACACTTATTGTTTAGAGAAAAATTCTTGCTCAGAAAAAACTCTCTTGAATTCGTAGGGCAAAAGTGATGGTAACTAGTTTCGGCAGGTGGCTGCCTTCATCAGACCATACACAAAAGAGCAAAAGAGCAAGACAAAATAGGCAGGAGCTCGCAAATATCCCAAGGCCAAAATGCGGCTCGAGATAATTCTCGGAGTCCGAAACCTAGGCTATAAAAAATGGAATAAGTGTAGCTACACCTAACATTTTCTAGCTGAAACTAAAAAATCCCCTGTACACTTAGGAAGCTTCCACGCGATAATAGCACGCCGATCTTCGAATGTCTCGTGTGACAATATCCATAGGTGATTTTTGAGTCGACTAAAAAAATACCACAAGTGCGAACGGTCAACCAGCGGGTTGAGCAGGCATTTCAGCACAAGGGGGCCACGAGTCGAAGTCTCTCGAAGAGAAGCGTGACGAAGGAGGGTAGTTCTGTCCAAAAAAGAAACGGACTTGAAGACTGGAAGCAGGAATTTCTCTGGGTAACCGCGGGCACGTAATCATGCTAAGAAAAGAGCGCGAGAATCCAGGAACTCTGTACGCGATGAGGAGCGAAGCAGAAAACGTTGAAGTTCGCTGCGGATAAAACCAGTCTTACTGCTTCTGGTGTGATACGATCTGTAGGGATGGTAAAGATAGCGATTCATCGGCTTCTTAAAAAGGCGACAGTCGAGGATGTTGCCGTAGGCAACACGATCCCCTTTGTAGAACATCACATCCAGGAAATCGATCGACGACTCAGAAATATTCCAGGTCAGTCGAATGGATGGATGGAGTTCTTCGAAGCGTGCCTTGAGCTTGTCGAAATTTTCTCTGGATCCTTCCCACAACACAAGACCATCATCAATGCAGCGAAAATGCAACGACAGCTGAACAGGGATCGAAGCGTGTAGACGAATGTCGAGGAAGCTCATAAAAAGAACCGCGAAACACACTGCGACTGAAGTCCCCATTGCCGTTCCATGAATATGACGGAAAAAGCGATTATCGAACTTGACGTAGCTGTTGAACATCACCCATTTTAGGAGACGGATGACCAACGGCGTCAGAGGGTGCCTAGCTTTATGCAGAAAATAAGCCACAGCATCGATTCCGTCAACGAGAGGGATAGAAGGGTAGCGGGATTCCACGTCATAAGTAGCCAATAGTAAATGCTTGGAAAAAACTCTTGACTCGAGGTTGACAATTAGACTCTGAGAGTCTCTAATGTAGGTTGGCTGCGCCACGACCAGTGGTCGAAGAACGGTGTCAAGCCACCTCGAAACATTAGAAGTTAACCAAGAGTGTGAGGCCGCGATTGGATGACCTGCTGGAATCTTCTTGTGAATCTTAAGAAGAATGTAAAAGGCCGGAACCTTCCATCCTCCTCGCGGTGGAGCGGAGAAAGAGTTCCAAATATGCGCTGGAAGAAGAGGATGCCATTCTTCTCTAATATTCAGCAGCTCGCGAGCGACGTCGCGGCAGGAACAGCAGCGTATTCTCGATAGACCTTGTCGTTAAGGAGATGCTCATAGCATTTCTCCTTGTAGTAACTTCGGTCCATGACAGTAAGTCCAAGATTTTTATCTGCGGGTTGGAAGATTAGTTCAGGATCTCTAGCAAGTCGTCGAAGTATTAGGAAAAAATTCTTTTGGCGCCGAGTGAGGTTTGCCTGCGGTTGATTGTTGATTCCTGTTAAAACTGCTTCCTTGAAAACCGAAATCGCCGTTTCGACTTCAAATGAAGCTTCTGGTGGTGTCCAATTGATTTTCCTGGGAAGTTTGTAGCCGACATACTTGGAAGCAAAATCCACTCCATTAAACAGGTACATCGTTCGGATACTCCTGGAAAAATCCTCCAACTCTGCTACGACTGACGCTAGACTTTGGATGGTAGGAACAGGTATGAACTTCAGACCAAGACGATTTTTGAGTCGACTCAAAAATCACTCGCACGTGCCAGGATCTCCTATGGAAGGTCTCCGAAGTGGGTGGGTCCCCCGGGGCCGGGAGAGAGCGCGGCATGACTCAGCCCACGGCAGCGGTGGTGCCGGAGACAGAGGTCGTGCTGATGGGGGATGGGCATACAGCGCGGGAGAAGGCCAAGGAGCCCTGCGCGTAGTCGCAATACAAGAGAGCCACGAGACGGGCGAGACGGGCTCTGGGGAGCGTGTCTCACGCAGGGGGCTACTCGTACGAGACCAGGTGCATGAGAAAAGAGGGGAGGGAGCGCCGGAGAGGAAGCCCGAGTGTCGCATGACTCTAAGTAACATGGAGGTCCTAAGAGTGCATGGGACAGCGCTGAAGTTTGTAGGTAAGTTTTGAGTGGAGCTTTGTACTGTAGAGAGCATCATGCAGTTTTGGGATTGGAGGTACAGTGCGGTGGTCGAGGATTGGAGGTTGGCGCGGAGGGCGACAGTTGGAGGGGTGGAGAGCTGACGTCATCCAGGTCAGCAGGGTTGGGAGCGACCCGGTAAGCAGGCATGCTGGGAGGGGATTGGAGCGAGGATGGCAGAATCTCCGGGAGCCATCACGGTGGAGAAAACCCCAAAACGGCGCGCGGCTTGAGCAGTGGGGAGAGTTGGGCTCGGCTCAGGGTGTCTCCTCTAGTGCTGGAGAACAAAACCAGAGCTACGCGATTGCTTAGCTACTTTGTTTGTTCTCTCAAGAATCGTGGGAAAACCTGTATGCTTTGTTGCTAATGGAAGCATTCCTGAGCAGATGTTAGATCCACGATGAGAGGATAGGCAGAGGAAGGGTAAGCAGTGAAGGGGATAGATAATGGATCCCGGCCTAGACCTTATGAGAGGGTACAGCAAGAGGTAGTGACCTATAAGAGGCGCCAGGGCCAGAAGGTGAAGGACCCAGGGTAGCGTGTCCTCAGAGGAGAGGGAGAGAGCCAGGGAGAAGGAATATGCGACACGAGGAGGAGCACAGCGTGCAGTCGCAGGAGAGCCGGGAGGACAATATTTGCTGAAATAGATGGGCATTGTGGAGGGGATTCAAGCTCTGGGGCGCCTGTCTCATGACTGCTACTACTGGTACCGGACAGAACAGGTGCGTGCATGGCAAAAGGGGGACGTACAGCGCCGGAGAGGAAGCCCGAGGAGCACTGCGTGCAGTCGCAGGAGAGCCAGGAGACGGGCGTGGTGGTGTCGATCTGCAGCCAGAATGTCTGCTGCTCCGACCCGAAGTCCAGCGCCACGTAGTAGCCGCTGGGGGGTTGGGTGGGGAGAGGACATGGGGCGGTGTCGGGAAGGGGGAGCCATGAGGGGGGAGAGGTGAGTGGGGGGAGAGGTGAGTGTGGGGAAGTGGTGAGTGGGGGGAGAGGTGAGTGGGGGGAGAGGAGAGGTGAGTGGGGGAGAGTTCAAGGAGGGTAGAGGTAAGGGGCAAGGGCGGGCGTGGTGGTGTCTATCTGAGCGTCGTGTAGTAGGCACCGGGAGGGGGGAGACATGGGGAGGACATGGGGAGGACAGGGGGTGGGGAGGACATGGGGAGGCAGGAAAAGGTAGTGATGAGGGAAAGGGTCAAGCGACGTTCCAATGGGGGTGACGGTAGGGGATTGACGCTGCTGCTATTCTTGCTCACTGAACCCTCCCTACCACCAGACAGCCTCTGATTCCTTGCTGAAGCTGCCTCCTTCCCACAGTCCCCAGCATGCCGCGTCAAAGGCCTGTGCCAGCAATCCCGTCTCCCTGGCATGTCTCCAGCAGGCCCCAGTCTCTCCCAGCCCTCTCACCTCTCCCAGCCCTCTCACCTCTCCCAGCCCTCTCATCTCTCCCAGCCCTCTCACCTCTCCCAGCCCTCTCACCTCTCCCAGCCCTCTCACCTCTCCCAGCCCTCTCACCTCTCCCAGCCCTCTCACCTCTCCCAGCCCTCTCACCTCTCCCAGCCCTCTCACCTCTCCCAGCCCTCTCACCTCTCCCAGCCCTCTCATCTCTCCCAGCCCTCTCACCTCTCCCAGCCCTCTCATCTCTCCCAGCCCTCTCACCTCTCCCAGCCCTCTCACCTCTCCCAGCCCTCTCACCTCTCCCAGCCCTCTCACCTCTCCCAGCCCTCTCACCTCTCCCAGCCCTCTCACCTCTCCCAGCCCTCTCACCTCTCCCAGCCCTCTCACCTCTCCCAGCCCTCTCACCTCTCTCACCCCTCTCGCCTCTCTCACCTCTCTCACCTCTCCCACCCCTCTCTCTCTCTCGCACCTCTCTCACTTCTCTCACCTCTCTCACCTCTCTCCCCTCTCTCAACCCTCTCACCTCTCCTTGCTGAAGCTGCCTCCCACGGTCCCCAGCATGCCGTCAACGGCCTCGGCCAGGAGCGACGTGGTGAAGGGCGTTACTGTCTCAAACACCGACCACTTGGACAGCGCCGACCGCCGACTCTGCTCGCTGCTCAACCTGCCATGCTCTGAGTGCTGCTGCTTTGAAGTGTGATGCTTTGATGTGTGGTGCTGCTTTGACTCATGCTGCTCGGACTGACGATGCTTTGTGGGATGTGGATGCCCCGAGAGCTTGGAACTGCTGCTGCTGCTACCTTTTCTCCTCCCCCCTGTCGGCACACCGCTGTTGGTGGGTACTTGACTCCCCAAGCCTGCAGCGTAGGGCCCCGGGCGGTACGCCGTGTCCTGTAGTGCGGGGAATTTGGACGGGGGGGTAAGGGGGAGGGGGGGAAGTGGAGGGGGGAGGGGGGAAGTGGAGGTGGGAGGACAGGAGGGGTTGGTCTAAGCTGGCTATGGGGTCATGAGAAGGCCAGGCCTAATCAATACGCACAACAAGCTGCGTATTGCTTAAATCATGCGTAATGAGTGAGTGAGACTGGGCTCGTGATAGCCCCACCAGTAGAAACGGTGACTTTGACCGTCTCATGAGGGTCAATCTTAGCCGTCCATCGCCCTCCGCACTCTCGTCCTCCCTCCACCCCTCACTGCTGTAAATGGGTCCCAGACCACGCCACCTCTCGCTCTTCCTCTGCTTCCCCTTCTTCCGCTTCTTCTCCTTCTTCCCCTCCTTTTCACTGTCTCTACCACCACCACCACCACCACCACCACCACCACCACTGTCGCTGCTGCTGCTGTCCCTTATATGCATGGCTCGTCCCCGCATTGCCGTCTCATGCACCGTTAGAGGCACATCCGAGCACCCGTTGTAATCCTCCAGCGTGCATCTACCATCCTCACCATAACCATCATCACCAGCACTAGCCGCAGCAGCAGCGGATGGGGCCATTTCCTCTACCGAAGCTGCCCCTGCTGCTGCTGCTGCTGCTGCTGCTGCTGCTGCCCCTCTTTCCTCACCCTCCGCTGCCCTCCCCTCACCCGCCGCTGCTTCTCCCTCTCCCCTCCCTACCGGCGCTGCTTTTGGCCGCGTGATTATAGATGCGGGGCGCGCGCACTGATGGGGAAGCGGCGGGGCAGGGGGAGGAGAACGCGGGGAGGGGAGGGAGGGGGGAGGGGGGGAAGCAGAGAGGGGTTAAACGAGGAGGGGGTAAGGGATGGGGGAAATGTGGGGTGGGGAAAGCGCAAACTCGGCTAAAAGGTCACCAAAGGACAAGGAAAGCGCAATGAGGGGACATGAAACGAACGGGAAGGAGCAGCGCAAACATTATATCCAGGTGTGTGCTTTGAGTCAAACTCAAACACACACGAGGGGACCGGAATCGAACGGGAAGGAGCCGCGCAGCTGGAGCGTAACGTACGCAGGGAAGAGCGGCGAGCACGAGAAGCATGAGGCACGCGTGTCGCCGCCACGCGAGCCGCGATGCGCCTCGCCGGGCGGCTTGCGAGCATTGCAGCGTTTGCCGATTCGGCAACGCCATGGGAAGGGAGACGGAACAACGCGACCCGAGCGCGAAACAAAAACGCGGTGTCGCCTGTTGAGAGCTCAAGACAGCTGACCAGGAGAGTCTAAGGTTAACCAGGGTTGACTGGAGTTGACTAGCGGTGATTAGGGCTCACGCGGGTTGAGCAGAGTTAGGCATGGAGTAATAGAGTGGGAGTTTTCAGCTCCTATGACTATAACGGCTATGTCACCCAGTGGGTGACGGATGCGGTGCATTGGCGAGTAACAATGGTTGTCGTGACAATGGCTGATGTGACAATAGCGATGGACGGAGGAGGCTGGCGTCTCCGCTAGATACAGCGACGGACCCGCAGGTCGTCAGTGTGACTTCACCTCACGGCTCGCCTGAACGGCCTGCATTAGGGTTTCTCTCCTGCTGCCACATCCTAGCTAATCCGTTAGTACCAGTACAAACAAACGGAGTACGGTGAGTAGCAGGGGAACGACTAGGGACAGCAAGGGGTGAGGTGGGGAAGGTCATTTATGGCTCATCTCGTCTCGAATCGGCTTGGATTGATGGGAATGACGTTTTCCAAAAAGCTTCATGGCTAAGCTGAGGGCGTGTCCCAAGTGTTTATCCGAATACGTTTTCGCGAGATGGATTACGTTTCAAAAGGATAACAAAACTCCGTAAAACGGTTCGGTAGGGTATTGGCCGAAAACTAACGCTTACAAGCCCTGATACCCCGAGGTACCCTGGCTGAAGCCGAGAATCGGAAGGAGGCGAATGCACGGAAACAATCCCCGCACACGAAGAAAGCAAGGTAGCGCGGTTACCCTATCTAGTCACTTCGTCTTGCGGCTGACGCATGCTCGTGTTGTCCTGTCCCGTTGCTCACTGTCGGACTTTTTGTCTTGTTGTGGGTCTGGGTCGCTACTCTCGCTTGCGGCTGGATCCATCTGCCTGCCCGCATCCTACCTGCCCTGCCTGAGTATTTTCGCGCGAAGTGTGAACACCTGAGACTGTATCAGATGTGCAGGTGATCGAAACAAATGCCTGAAAGTGTCAATAATAATTGCATAAAACCAGTATAGTGACATAAACAAGCAGAACCAAAGTGTGCTACTTGTAACGAGTAGAAAAATACAATTTCAACAACTAGCATCAAATCAAGCCATTCATGGAATAGCATGCACGGGGCCCTGAACTCTAATGAACCCATGGGAGTGAATGATTCGTGCTACAATTGGCCGCTTATGGCTGTGACCACCTCGATATGAAACCAGGAGAATGCTCGGATCCTCTGGCCTCCTCTCCAACACTCTCTTGGCCAAGCACCCATCATGGCTACACCGATAGTAGCTGCGCTTGAAGTTTGTTTGCTTGAGAGCCTTCTCTCCATACTTGCGCCACCGGTACCCATCATCAATCTCGTCCTTGGTCGTAGCCACACGATGCATCAACTGCTGCTGCTGCTGCTGTGGTTGCTGGTGCTGATGTTGCAAGTGCGGAATGGGTAGCTGATGGATGGGACTCATAGGGCTCATGGGACTCACGGGGCTCATGGCTCTTCCACAAGGAGACGGGGGAGGAGACGGCACAGGTGTGGTCACTGCTGAGCCTCCAGCCACAGTCGCAGGGCTGAGAGGAAACGACAGAGGGGGCGGGGGCGACGGTGAAGGGGAAAGTGGCGGAGTGTTGACAGGGCTTGTCTGCACCTTCTGCCTCTTGCAAGGGTTGCTAGGAGCTCCAAGCTGGGCTGCACCCTCCACTTCCATGGGGCAGCATAGGCTATTGTCTTCTGACTCTCGCTGTCGCTTGTTCCCGCACAGACCCCCCATGCCTTGACCAGGTAGCATCTGCGCTTTCTGATACAGCTGCTGCTGCTGCTGCCTGCTTTCCTCACCAATGCTCCCACTGCTGCTGCTCAAGTGGCTGTCCAGGCTCCCAGCCAGTTGCCCTCCATTCGCCACCACAGCAGCGGCAGCAGCAGCAGGTGCAGCGGCAGGGCCGTGGCTGTGCTCCTCTCTGTACACCACTCGGGTGGAGGCAGCGTCTTCAGCCAGCTCCACTGTCTTCCTCGCGGGGCACCCGTGCAGCGCGCAGCGGAAATAAGCGCGGGGAAACTTGGCGCCCTTGGCGGTTTTCTGCCCGTACTTGCGCCACTGGTAGCCGTCCTGGGGAATGCTCTCCATGAGGCGCGCCAGGGGGTCTGATACGGCCAAGTCTGCGCCTCCTGCGGACTGACCCATTCCTCTCATTGCTTCCGTGACTGCTGCTGCTGCGGCTGTTTGGGAGCCAGCTGGTGTTGCGGTAGCAGCCTCGCTGCACAGAAGCTCCTGCTGCTGCTGTTCCTGTTGCTGCTGCTGCTGCTGCTGTGCGAGCTGTGCGTCGGCAGCAGCAGCAATCTTCTGCAGCAGCAGGGCACGCAGGAGCGCGTCCAACTGAGCCGGCAGAGCAGCCGCTGCTGCTGCCTCATCCCCCTCTCCTGCTGCTGCTGCCACGGGGGTGGCCGGTGTGACAGGCGACGCCGGAGTGAAAGGAGAAGCGGGAGTGTTTGGTGCGGTTGAGGTGAGAAACCCACAAGAGGAGGAGGCCGGGGTGGTTGGAGTCATGGGAGTGGTTGGCGTGGCTGGGGGTGTGAAGCGCAGAGACAGCGTAGCAGACGGGCGGAGCTTGTGAGACGACACTTGGCGAACGGCCGATCGGGAGGAGGACACCAGCGCGCGCATCGGCCCAGGGCTGAGCGGCAGCGGCACAGACACCACAGGGCGCACAGAGGAAATCATTGAGGGGACAGAGGAAACGGACGGAACAGCAGCAACATCCTGAGGCGCGAAGTGAGTCGGCAGGTACGAATCGCTGTCCTCCGCCAAGTGCAGTGCAGAGTAGCACGGAGAGTAGGGAGAGCCAGGCCCCATGGAGGCGGGTAGCTCCTCCTCTCCCCCCTCCGCTGCTTCTCTCTCCTCCTCTCCTAGCCAGCAGGACGACTCTGGTAGTTCCAGCGGCTGGAGCTTCAGAGGAAGGTTGCGCCGGGGGAGAGCAGCGGAGCTTGCAGCTGGAGCCTGCTGCTGTTGCTGCTGCTGTGGTGGCTCCAGCGCCGCCTCTCCGCTCCCCCCTCTCACCGGCAGGAACTGCATAAGATCTTGCGGTCCAGGTCCAGCCGAGCACAGCCCGCCTCCCGCGCTATACTGCTGGAAGCACCAGGGCATACCGCCGTCTCCAAACGCGAATGTCTCTATCGGGGATAACTGCGGCAGGGCTGTGCTGTGATACCCCATCTCAGCCGCGTTTCGGACGGCTGAGATCGGTGGAGGGGGCTGCTCGTCCGAGCCCCCAGCAGAGGAGGCGATTTCACCAGCGACTGTATCCACAGGGGAGGCGGGATCGGGGGAGGCGGGACACGGGAAGGTCTGCTCGGGGGAGGCGGGCCTGCTAATCGCCGGTCCGCGCGCGTTTCCGTACATTGGGGGGGAGAGAGGAGGCGAGACGGGTGGTTCAGATTCAGGCTCAGCAGCAGCCGCGGCAGCAGCAGCAGCAGCAGCAGCAGACGCCTGATGAGAGGCGTGGGAGCCACCGGCGGCGGCGGCGGCCACGCTTGACCCGCGCACCAGGCTCGCGGCGGACTTGGACGCCGTCGCGAGAATGGGCAGCAGCGCGCCGAGCAGCTCCATCCCACGCTGCCGCTGCTGTTCGTCTGTTAGAGGACTGCCGTCTGCTGCCGCCGCGGGCTCCGGTTGCTGCCGCCGCGTCGCGTCTTGCTCTTCCGCAGCCTGCGGGGTTCGCGGCGCAACACCCCCTGCCGCCGCCGCCGCCGCGTCAGGAGGGACCTCGGCTAGAAGCGCGCGGAGCTCGTGAATGTGGTACATCAGCTGCTGACGCGCCGCCGCCGCCGTCTCGCTACTGCTCGTAGTAGCCATGGTGATCGAGTGCTGCTGCTGCTGCTGCTGCTGCTGCTGGTGCTGCGGAGAATGGTGGTGGTTGGTGAGCTACAGTACGAATAAGAAATACTGCTACTATTACTACTCGTAGAAGTAAGAGTCTAGGGGACTGTAGAGTGGGGAATAAGAATACGATTTAGATAAGGATGAGAATAAGCTTGTCCAGTGGACTTTTCAGGCCGGTTGTGGAGGGAGCAACCCAGTATCGACTTCCAGCAAGGACTATATATGTCCTTCTAGAGTGAAATGTCTCTATTCCCTCGAGTGGAGGAACACCACACGCGCCGGAGCAGCTGCTAGGGAATCGTAGCCTAGGGCTTCGCGGCAAAACGGAATTCTATTGCCCTTGCCGTTTTTCTCGCTCCCTCTACTACACGATCGCGGCGGGGGCGAGGTGATAGAGAGCGGAGGGAAAAGCTCTGCTGCGCGAGACGATGAGGAGGCCGGGGAAACGCTCAGGTCAGTGTTTTTCTTCTCGTGACGTGATTGTACGATTTGAGGGCGACTTTATTCCAACCAGCGGCAGAGCCTGTTTGGCTTTGGGTGGTTGGCCCAGCCAGGATGTGTGTGTGGGTGTGGGGGGGTCTGCTCTCCTGGGCTCGCTGTCAGCGCGCCAATGGGCTGCCAGCCAGCCTCCCTGGGAGTGCCGCGCCTTCGTCGTAATGTGGTGGTGCAGTGTTGCGATCCGGGGTAGGTGGTGGGTGCGCGGCGACGGGTTGACCTCCGTCAACCTGTCAACTAATACAAATCGAGAAACGGGAAAAAGAACACAAGAAACTAAAGCTGTTCGGTATTTTCGTTTCACGCGTTACGCTCGCTTCCCACTCCCACCCAAGCCAACCCAACAGGACGCACACCTGCAGGGTGTTTTTCGTTTCACGCGTTATGCCCGGCTCCCTTGGCAAATTCGCAGTGGTCCCCCCGTCCCGCTGCCCTCAAGGTCCCCCCGAACCGAACCCAAGTTGTACACTTGTTTTTCTATTTTGTCTCACGGTTTTGCACGTGGTTCGATTTTGTAAGCAGGCAATAGTAAAAACACGGGCAAACGGGACCTTGAAGGGAAAATCCCACAGTAAACAATGACACTTGGCTACAAAATCTCGCTCATGCACTAGATTAGTTTCCTGCGCGACGTCCCAGCTCTGAAACTCGCAATTTTCGAAATACAACTTGGCTGTTCGCTATCGTTCAGACTGCAGCCAATCAGGTTCGGTGTCAACGCAAGTCATGCTGAGAACCTGGTAGGTGAGATTGCAATTTGGACTGTTCCGGGTGAAACTATAGAGGAGAAAAGGTGTACTGTAATTCTGGCCCTTGCCCTGCCCGTCTCCCTGCAGTGGCAAACCGCGCGCCTAGGTCGGGGGAATTGAGGTACCCCCCCCGACCTGCCATCACGGCACGCGCACCGACGAGTAAGGGTTCGGCGAAAGTCGGACGAAACGCGGTTTCCCTCGTGCTTGGGTGACGTGACGAGGTGCAGGTACCAGATATATGCGACTGTGCCAGCAGGGACGTTTGTAACTTGTCGTTAGGTTTTGCGGCAGGAAACCCGCGCTGGCGAAGCAACGAGGCTCAGTGGGTGGCGGAATTACAACCGCTGACGAGTTGACGCCTGACGGCCGTTCGTTGAAACTGTCAACGCACCTCCAGCTCACGCGGCAACGAACATCGCCCAAGATCATGGGCAAAAGGATAATTTCGCGAACCTCAATTGGAGGAAGGAGGTTCGAGGGTCAACCGTATCAACACGGCGAATTTCCCGAGCCAGCCAGGTGCAGCTAACGGTGGGTATACAGTGCTGGCCCCCCTACAGTAGAATACAGTAGCAGTGTAACGGTGATGGTGCCTAGATGCACAAGAATGCGCCAGGTGGCGAGCTAGGGTGCGACGGGGGCAATGTGGCTTAGTTCAGCTCCATCGAGCTGACGCAGAAGCTTCGTATCGTCCTCGAGGAGCTGAGGGCCACAGTCGAGTCGCGCCATATCGAATACTCTACACTTTTCATGGTTCATGAAAAACGCTACAACACCCGATTTGCAGAACGCAACAGCTTAAGAATAAAAGTCGGGCTTTAATCAGCGCAGAAAATTATACCCCTCTTCTGCTCGTGCTGCTTTCTTTGTTTGACGTTGTGCCTTCTGCAAGCTACTCACACCCGCGCATCTCAGCACCATGGCTCCTGGAGGAAGAGCAGGAGGCGTCGGAGGAAGAGGAAGAGGAGGGCGAGAAGGCGGAGGAAGAGGAAGAGGAGGGCGAGAAGGAGGAGGAGGAGGAGGGGGAGGTCGTCGCAAGTCGTCGTCAGATCGCGACCCGTTGACGGCTAAACTCTCGCCGGGTTTGGGGGGAGCCGCGCTTCCGCCGCCTCCTTCCGCCAGGGATGTTTCCGCGCTTCCCGCGTCCCTACGACGAGTAATGGCCCTCAAGACGCGCGCGGAACAGGATTCTGCAGCAGGTAGTTAAAAGCGCTAGTGCACTTTATCGAACGAACTTCCAGTCGTTTAAAGCTCTAGTGCACCATCTACTAGCGCGTATAATCTATATGGGCGGGGCTTAGTAGCTGCTGTTTGGGGCCCTGTCACGGATTTGTAGGGAGATGGAGCTGGTTATCACATACATTTCGTTAACATGATTAGGTGCGAAACGCGGTTTAGGCTCGAGGCGTCGGGGTCAGGGTTTAAGCTACTGCTGCTTGAAATGCCCCGCCGCCAGATTTTGCATCCTTTACTAGTTCTCTCCCCCTTCCCTTCCACCTCCCCTTTGCCGCACTTTTCAACCCCGCGCGCTGCAGGGAAGAGGAAGCGTGGGGACACAGGATGCCGCAGAACGGGGCGCAGTGGGCCGGGGGGAGCGGGGAACCGCAGCGCTGGGGGGGAGGCGGCAAGCAAACGGGCGCGCAGAGCAGAGCAAGCGGGACGCGGGGGGGATTCTGCTGCGCCAGGGCATAGGGAAGTAGCAGAGCGCACTAAATCCCAGCAGCAGGGCGGAGAACCTGGGGGGAAGGGGGATCAGAGAGGGGGAAGCGCGGGGGTGGAGCAGCGCCCGGGTGCTGCAGCGGGAGGGGGGGTAGAAGCGTCCGCAGGTGGGGGAAAGGGGAGAAAAGCGGGTGTACGGGGCGGGAAGGGGGGGAGAGGGGACGAGCGGGGGGGAAGGGGGCAACATGCGCGTGGGCTTGGGAGGAAAGAGGAGCAAGATCTGCTGGCGTTCGGGGAAGAGTTGAAAGCGGCTGCTGCTGCTGCTGGGAGCAAGGGGAAGAGGAAAGAGAAGATGAAGAAGTGAGTTGAAGGGGTTAGGGTTTAGTGTGCAGGGTTTGGGGTTTTCACGGCCAAGGGTACTAGGGAATCCAGGCGGTTGTGGGTGTTGGAGACGGCGCAATGATGAATGCTGCTGGTTTTAGGGATAAGGAACAGTGATGCTTGGCTGAGTGGGTAGGTAAGTGAGTCAGTGGCGAGTTAATGCTGCTTTCCTGGGCATGGCCAACAGTTCAGGGTTTAGGTGGGTTTAGGTGCGTTAAGGTGGCCCTGGAGTAGTGCGGATGTGGCACACAGACAAATCAAATCAGCAAAGAACAGGAATTCACCTTCCTCTAGCGTTCGCCTCGTTCTTGCATTTGCCACCACACATATCACTCACTGGCAGGTTCTTGACAGAACGACGCAAGGCAAAGAAGTTGAAGCAGAAGCACGGGGGCAAAGGGGGGGATGGCGGAGGGGAGGGGCATGAGTCAGCAGGGGGGGGAGGGCAGGGGGAGATCAGGAGCGCGGATGGGCGGAGGGCGGATGGGCGGGCGCTGGAGTTTCCTGAGAGGGAGGTGGTGGCGTTTGGGGATGTGGTGCTGGAACCACCCAGGAACCTCACCCAGCCTCGCAAGAAGGTGGGGCCCTGCTTGCGATGGCGGGTTGGTGTGCTGTGCAGGGGGCTGATGGTACCGTATGGTCTGTTGTTGTGTAATTCGCTTTTGAGTCAGCGAATAGACGAGATGTGGTGCTGGAACCACCCAGGAACCTCACACGGCCTCGCAAGGTGTGGCCCTGCTTGCGACTGTGGGGTGCCGTGCCGTGCAGGTGGCTGGTGTGATATGGTGTGCTGTGCTGTGCTGTGGTGTGATGTGGGTCAATGCTGTTTTATGGCTGAGTGCAGTGAGGGGCGTTTCTTCCTCCATCTAAATCCCATTCATGCACGATGGATCCAACCTCAACCTCCCTCTGCTGATCGTGCACACATTCGTGCTTTGCTCCCTTCGGCTTCTCACGTCCTCGCCCATGTGTCTTTCCCCTTGCCATTCCCCACTTTCCCCCAGAAACCCACTCAACAACCACACTCTACTGGCCCCATCACCTCCACTCCCATGGCTGCTGCTGCTGCTGCTGCTGGTACTGTCGCCTCTGGGTCTGCTTCTGCTGCTCTTCAGCCTGCTGCCGGCCCCACCAAGTTTTCCACCCCTTCCCCTTCTAGCGGTGCCGACAACACCACTACCGTTGCCATCACTGCTGTTGCCAACCCTGATGGTTCCGAATCCGCTGCCGCCGTTGCTGCTGCTGCAGCTGCAACTGCAACTGTCCCGCCGAAGAAGGAGCCTCGCCATTGGCCGGCGGCGATGGGTGAAAGCGTGGCCTCGCAGGAGCGGTTGCGACTAGCGGCTGTGCAGCATTACCGTGATTTGCATAAGAAGAAGAAAGAGCAAATGCTGGCTAATCTCCCGGCACGATCGCTTGGAGTAGAACTGGAGTGAAGTTTTACTCCCCCTCTTTTTTGGGGGGTGGGGTCATGAAAAGCCCTGCATCTGTAGTAGGCATTAGTTTTTTACACTAGTAAATGCATGGTTTGGTGTGCTTAGTGTAACGAAAATCCCTTTTCCTTATCGACCCTCGCTAACATCGAGTACAGCCCTGACTTTCAGAACTCCAGGCTCAGCCCGACATCTTAGGTCCGAACTACATTCGAGACCCCCAAGCCTACACGCGGCGTCGCGTTCGACACTTCCGTGTCCCGAGGCGCCCAAACCACCTCGCGTGTGTTTTGTGGCCTCCCTCGAGGCTCCCTTGCTAGGTTAGTTGTGCTTGTATATTTAGCCATGTGCTTCATTTGCATTCGACACACATTAATCACGACCTCATTATTGCATTACTCAATTTCTATTCGGAGATTATCATAACACATGGTATCAGAGCTATGTGTCAACAAATATAATTATCTAGGCTAGCTAGTTTATATTTGTTATAGCCTTACTTATGTCAGTTCTTAGAGGGTACAATCCTACCTTTGTAACCCTCGACATTTTCCTTTAAAGCGAGGGTCTCAAGAAGCAGAAAACCAAATCCAAAGGTTTTGGTTTTGGGTTGACGAACTTTGCGAAACAGTTACAGCGCCCAACCAGCACCCCTTACCACACATCGCAATTTTCGAGACCCCCCGAAACCAAAACCTTTGGGTTTGTTTTTTTTCATCTTGAGACCATCGCTTTAATTGATCATTCTCTCGACAATCTAACATGGCATCTGAGTTAGGTCTGCCCTCACTCACGCTTCCGCCCTAGCACACCCTCGCCTAGCGCGCCTCAGCCCTAATTGCGCGCCTCGTAGCTCGTCCCCTCCCCGCCCTCTCCTCTTCGTCGCGTAGCTCACGCCAGTCGCCGCTGACCCGCGCCCGCCAACGCCTTAGTTCATAGCCGTCCCACAACCCGCCAGCCCTCCTGCTCGCCAGCTCGCACGCTCGCTTGCTTGCCCGCTCGCCCGCCCGCCCGCCTGCTCGCTTGCTCGCCTGCCCGCCAGCCCGCCTGCTCGCCAGCCCGCCTACTCGCCTGCTCGCCAGCCCACCAGCCTGCCAGCCCACCTGCTTGCCAGCTCGCACGCTCGCCTGCTCACCAACCCGTCTGCTCGCTTGCTCGCCAGCTCGCCAGCCCGCCTGCTCATCAGCCCGCCTGCTCGCCAGCCCGCCCGCTCGCCAGCTCGCCTGCTCGCCAGTCCGCAAGCCCGCCTGCTTCCCAGTGCGCGTGCTTGCCAGCTCGCCTGCCTGCCTTCTTGCCTGCTTGCCAGCAGCGCCAGCAGCCAGCTCACTAGCGCCAGCAGCCAGCGCCAGCTCACCTTTGCCAGCGGCCAGCACCAGCTAGCTCGCCAGCGCCAGCCAGCGCCAGCAGCCAGCAGCGCTAGCTGTCAGCAGCCAGCTTGCTGGCTAACCAGCGCCACCAGCGCCAGCAACCAGCAGCAAGCGCCAGTCGCCAGCTGCCAACAGCCCACTGCCACTACCACAGCTACTACTGCGCGCTGCCGCCCGCTGCCGCCTACTGCCGCCCATTGTCGTTGCACTTGCCACTACCGCAGCCACTACCGAAGCCACTGCTGCCTCTGCAGCTGCCGCTGCTACTCTTGTCGCCATTGCTATTGCCCACCGTCAGCTTCGGCCTCCAGCAGCCGGCCACCAGCCGCCAGCACCAGTCACCAGCCGTCAACAGCCGACCGCCGACCCTCAACCATCAGCCGCTAGCTGCCACCACTCGTGGCCAGCCGCTAACCACCAGCCGCTAGTGGCAATCGACCGCCAGCCACGTGAGTCCCCCGTGCCCTGTGGACCGTCCTTCGTCCTGTGCCGCCAGTCCTAGTGCCTCCTAACTAGCTCCTTGGTGTCCTGCTCCTAGTAGATCCTCTCGCGCGTACTTCCTCCTCGTTTGCTCCCCACTCCTCTTAGCAGCTCCTAGCCTACCACCAGCCGTCAGCTAGCCGCTACTGCTGTCTTACTGTCATTAGCCGCTGCCGCTACCAGCCTCGTGCTCGCTGCCACTGCTCTGGCCACAGTCGCCACTGCTATTACCTCCGATTGTACTCCTATAGCACCTAGTGCCTCCCACTAGTCTCCTCCTCATTTCTAGAGTTCCTCGACGCCTCTTCTCTCGGCATGATGGCCTTGTTCGGGTCAGCCCCTTCACCAGACTGCCGGGCACTTCCCTTCGATCTCCGATTTCTCGCTCACTGTCTAAAGCTGGTGAGCCCGCTCCTAGACTTCATGCTCCTGGAGGATAACATTAGTTACCTAATTGGCTTCTGGCTCCACGACCTCGACGTCTACTTCCGGGCTCTCTGGCCAGTGCCGCAACCACATCAGCCGTAGTGGGGTCTTGGGATGTTGGGTGAGGTGGAGGCTATGGAGGTGCGGCCCCGGGGCGATCACTGCCCTGGGGCCAGTGTTGTCACAAGATCGAATGTGTCGAGGAAAGGTTGCACTATCGATTGATACAAGGCGCTTTTATACTTCCAAAGTACATCAGGTAACCAGGTTTATCCTATCCCAAGGGAATAGACCCTTCTAGAAAATAGAATCACCCTGCGTATAGCCATGCAAGGCTATTGGCTTTAAGGGATTACGGCAGGATTACGCTAGATATAGCCTACCAATGCATCCCGAGCCTTGGTCCGTGATATAATGATAATAACAGGATAAACCAAAGGTTTATGGAAAAGAGGGAATAGGAATCCAAATGGCATGAAATAAAGACCAAATGAATCAGGATAAAAAGAGGAATGAAATGGAAAGGGAAGATGGAAAGGAGAAAGGAATGGAACGGGGTCGTACTCTCACACTTCCCCCCCTCAAAGCTGGGTGGTAGACGTAACACCCTGCTTGACAAGGTAGTCGCGAAGAGGACGACGAGCGTGATCCATCTCGGATTCAGAGACCCAGCTATCCTCTGAAGGATCATAACCCTTCCAACTGATGAGAAGTTCCACGGTGCCATTCCGTCGACGGCGGTGAGCAAGCACGGACTCGACCTCGTACTCGGGTTCATCATGGACGGGCGGCGGCGGCGGCGGTTGGTGTCCAGAGAAGACCGTGTTGGGATCTCGGTAGGGCTTCAAGAGTTGGACATGGAAGGCGTTGTGAATCTTCCAAGTAGCTGGCAGGCGTAAGCGGAAGGTAACAGGAGTGACCTGTGCTTCAACGAGAAAAAGCCCGCAGAAGCGAGGTCGCAGTTTGGATGGGAGATGGCTGATGTCAAGATTGCGCGTGTCGAGTAGTACTCGGTCTCCCACGGTGATGGTGTGGTCTGTGCGGTGGCGATCGGCCTGGCGCTTCTGTTGCTGCTGAATGTCGAGAAGATGCTTGTTGGTCCGATCTCAAAGTTTGTGCATGGTCGTGATGAAATCATGAGCGGGTTCGACTGTGGCTGGTATGTTTGGCTGTTGAGGTGTGAGTGGGTGGCGTCCGTAACAGAGGAAGAACGGCGTCTGTCCAGTAGCGGCGTGAGTAACATTGTTGTAGGCAAACTCCAGGACGGGCAGATGCAAGTCCCATTTGGAGATGTTGTCCTTGCAGGCTGCTCAGAGGAGTTGCTCCACAATTTGGTTGAGGCGCTCGGTCTGTCCATCTGTCTGCGGATGGTAGGCCGATGACATGGCGAGTTTGGTCCTGAGTAGAGACATAAGTTCTTTCCAGAATTTACTGGTGAACTTAGGGTCGCGGTCGGAGATGAGTGTGGTTGGAATGCCATGTTGTGAGATGATGTAGCAAACCAAGAGTTGTGCTGTCTCCTCAGTGCATGCTGTGGTGTGTGTCGGGATGAAGTGTCCCATTCTGGAGAACTTGTCAATGACGACGAGGATCGCATCATGACCGGTTGTGGTAGTTGGTAGCCCGGTGATGAAGTCTAGGCTGACCACTTGCCATGGCTGTTCTGGGACAGGAAGAGGGTGTAGCAGACCCGCCTTTTTCTGCTTGCTGCTCTTCATCCGCTGACATGTAGTGCACGAGGTGACGAATTTCTGTACGTCAATTGCCATGTGGGGCCAGTAGTAGTGTTTGGCGATACCGGTGAGCGTCTTGTTGCTACCGAAGTGTCCCGCGTGCAGGACGTCGTGGTATTCTGCGAGTAGTAACTGGCGCAATGGAGGGTAATTAGGTACCCAGATCTTCGTTGATCCTTTCTGGTACGCGATGTGGTTGTCTCACTGTAGTAGATGTCTTTTCTGCCAAGAGAATTTCGGGGTTGATGGTGTACCCGTGTGTGAAGAGTCCCTTGAGGAGTGGATTCATCCCTTCAAGTTGGATAGCGGCAACGTGTGCAGGTCAGCTAAACGCATCTACTTTGTTTTTGTGGCCGGGCTTGTACACGATGTCGTAGCGGAAGTGTGTCTCAAGGAAGTCAATCCACCGGACCTGCCGCCTGGAGAGGTTTGGTTGCGTCTTCAAATATTTTAAGCTGCAATGGTCGGTGTAGACTGTCGTCTTGCATCATTCGAGATATCATCTCCACGTTTTGAAGGCGATGATGATAGCAAGGGCCTCCTTGTCGTGTATCAGGTAGTTGAGTTCTGCCCCGTGTAATTTTTTGCTGAGGTAGGCAATTGGTTGCAGGCCATTCCCCTGGTCTTGCATCAAGACCGCTCCCACTAACTGGTCATTGGCGTCAGCATTGATGACGTAGTCGCGTTCGGGGTCTGGCAAGATGAGTACGGGAGCGGACGTGAGTGCTTGTTTCAGCTGCTCCACGACTTCCTAGTGTTGTGATTCCCATTTTTAGGGCGTGTTCTTCTTTAGCAGATTCGTGAGTGGCGCAGCGATCTTCGCTTATTGTAGCACGAATCTGTTGTAGTAGTTAGCGAAGCCAAGGAACTGCTGTAACTCCTTCACGTTCTCGGGTGTCTTCCACGTACGTACGGCTTTGATTTTCTTGGGGTCGACGTGAAATCCTTGAGCGCTTACGATATGTCCGAGGAATTGGACTTTCTCGAGGCCGAAGTCACTCTTGGATAGTTTGACGTAGAAGCGTTCTCGTCGAAGAATTTCGTAGACGCGTCGCAGGTGTTCGACGTGTTGTTGCATGTCGCGCGAGTAGATGAGGATGTCGTGCAGGTACACCATCACGCATTCGTCCAAGAGTGGGCGTAGGATAGGATTCATCTCTACTTGTTCTTGATGGTCTGCTTGTTGAGAGCTCGGTAGTCGATGCACATGCGCAGGCTTCCATCCGGTTTCGGTGTGAAGAGTACTGGGGCACCGTATGGCGAAGTGGATGGTCGGATGAGTC